AGAGAGAGAGAGAGAGAAACACGAAGAGGGCTTTCTCGAAGCGGGAGGAGGGGAGGAGCTCGCGCCTGCGCCAACAAGCGCCGGTGGCGCATTTTCCCTCCATCGGGCGGAGGAGCAGTCTAGGCGGGAGGGGAGGGGTTTGCGCTTCTCGCTACTAGAATGAGGCGGGCCGAGGAGTGGCTGAAGCCGGTGAGGAAGCCGAAGAGGCCGCGGTATGTTGAAGCCGTCGCGCCGCTGAATCTCGCTCTACTTGTTTTCTCCTTTCCCTTCGAGAGCCTCTAATAGTCGAGCGGCGGGAGAAGCAGTAGATCTCCCCCCCCCCCGCTCTATTTGTTGTCAAGTCTCCTGTCGCTTCAGTTGAAAAGGCCGGCGGTCCTTTACGAGAGAGAAGTCGCCCCGTGGTAAACAGCAGGGGCGGGGGGCGCGCTCGCTTGCCTGCTCTTTCTCTTTCGGTGTTTTCGCTTGAGCTTGCAGAAAAAGGGGGCCGGCTCTTCTGTGCAAATATGACTGCCGGCTTCCGGGGCTTGAGAGGCTGTTCTCTCTTAATGTAACTTAAGAGCTTTTTTGCCTCTTCCTTTGCCAGTTTGATTGTTTCATAGATGTTGGAGGAGGTGTAAGCATTTTTATTGTTCAGTTCGAAGTATTGATTATTTAGGGTAAAGAAAAAAACGAGGATCTATTTTGTGGATTTTCTTTTAAGTACAAAGTCTCGTTATTTCCTACTGGCAGGAGCAACTCCAGTTAAAATATTAATATCTTTTGCGTTTTTATTCAGTTTCTAAAGAGTATTTTGAGCTATATTGATATAATATTCTTAGTTAAGTACATTATCGAATTATGTCTTGCTTTCACATTTCTAAATTGTAAGATAAAGATGCCTAAGAAAACAAGTTCAAATCTTCATTGTGAAAGGGTTAAAATTAGGTAGGTCTGTATTTCGTCCAAAGTTTTTGTTAATTATAAAGACAGTAGACAGGAAGATATAGTAGGGTTAAGTACTTTAATTAACCATGTACTGCCAAATTCTTAAGCTTGAAATTTTTTTTCAGTAGTCAATGTCAAATTTATTTAAGATGTAAGTATTTTAATAAATTAAATTGATACTGTTTCATTACACAAGCCAGTGTGGAGTTTGTGGTATAAGTTTTAAAATAACATTCACAAACCATGGAGCTTTGAAAATACAATACTAATAGTCCTAGCTTTCCACCACAACTGAGCCCAAAAATTGTATTGATAAGCAAAACTAAAGTGATTTAGTTAAGTGATTTTGTCCCATTTTACAATCTTTGTTTCTATAGTTAAGTGAATCACTACAGTGAAGTCAGCAACAGGATCATTAAATGAATGTAGGTTCCTAGTTGACTTTGCTTGTCAGAAGGTAGCAAAAGGTGCTTGCATATCACTGGGACACTGAACCATCATAAAAATGAGTCAGTTGCCAAGCATCCAAATTTTGATCATGTGATCATGGTGATGCTGCAATTGTCTTAAGTGTGAAAATAAGTCACTTTTTTCAGTGCCATTGTAACTTTGAATGGTTTCTAAATGGACTGTTGTAAGTCGAGGACTACCTGCACTATAGCTTCCATTTGACTCCCAATGACTACAGGGAACAATACAGTATTGTATGTAAGTGCACCTCTTCCTTTTGCTGTTTGATAGTTTTGTTTTTGAGAGCTCAATCAAGTTCACTATTCCATGAAGAACTACAGTTCAAATCCTGCTGAAATTTCTCAAGCCACAATTACTTCATAAAAAGGACATTGGCAAATGTGCAGCCCCACCCTTGTATTGAGCTTATTGTGTTAATTTATAGTTCACTTAATTTTGGCTTACAAGATTTTTGTGAATTCCATATTAGGCCACTGTTCTGACCCCCCGGCCTGTGAATACACCAGAACACAGGCTTGGCTGTTTGCCACTGTTCAATTACTGGGATAACGAATCCTTTGGCTGTTGTTTCCTGCAAATGTCCTCTCCCAATGCCTCACCTATAACCTCTCTTGGGAGGGGCCAATCAACAACCACTTGTGCTTAATCATCTTCTGTGAGTCTGCCTACAGAGTTGCTGCTTCCGTTTCTCAGCCCTTCTCAATCTAGCATCAGGGACAAACTGCCTCTGATCCTCCCCACTGCTCCATGCCTCAGGCACCTCCTGGTGGCCAACCATCCTCTCTGGTCCCTGCTCTGAGTCTGAACTCTGCCCAGGGTCCTCCACATCTTCCATGGCAGACTCATATAGTTCCTCGCTATCCGAGTCCATCAGCAGCTCAACCCGATCCTGCTGGGCCACAACAGGCCCCTATTTAGTTTAGTGTGCATTAATATAAGTTGAGGCTTTATCAGTTCAGGTTTTCATACATGGATTTTGATGTTTTGTGAATTTAGAGTAGATTATTAATCTGGTCATTTTATTAGAGTTAAAATGCTGCAGTAGTGTATACTATTATCTTTATTGTATATAAAATTTAAACTATTGAGAAATTAGAAGTTTTCTTCTAGGAAACAATTAGTTAAATGTTAGACACTCAACAGTGTCATTGGCACAGGCCATATTATGGCTGCAGATTCTGTATTTAAATTGCCTGAGATAAATTGTTTTAGTGCATATCAGCTGCAGTGCAGTAAAAAACCTTCAGAGAGAAGGAAAAAAGAGATAACGCTCAAACAAGAACTCTATTAAATATTTGAGAATGTTAAGTGTCCCATATGCAGTACTTCAGATGAGGCATTATTATTATTATTATT